CCACCCTGAGACCCTGCACTGGTACAGAGACCTTTAGCCCTCAGAGGGGTCGGGAGAGAAGGAAGGGGGCGACTGGTCAGACCGGGGGCTGAGAGCAGACCCTTCCTGAGAGCTGCTGCCTGAAGGCAGATGGTGGAGGCAGGAGAGGGTGCCGGCCAGGGGGGTAAACACAGGTGGGGAAGAGGCTGCAGAACTGGCAGGCTTGGGGGGCTCTGGCCCAGGACACAGGGCCCCCAAGCCCTGCCCGGGGACCGCCTCTCCGCAGCCCACCCCTCCCGCCCCCACTGCACCTGCATGAGCTCCTGCTGCGCCAGGTCCCACTTCTTGATGCCATTATCCCGGGAGCCGCTGAACAGGACGTCCCCCTGGATGGCCAGACACTCGATGCCATCGTAGTGCGGGGGCTCGAAGTTGTGGGTGGGGCCGACGGTGCCCGTCACACACTCACCCAGCTGGAACATCTGCAGAGGAGGGGCAGGAGGGAGGCCGGGCGCCTCACCAGGCTGGGGGTGGGCTTCCCGGGGGACAGGAACGGGGGGCAGGGAGGCCGACTCAAGGTGGGTTTGGGCTGTGAGCCTCCTGTTAAAATTTTTAATAAATATAACACTACTTGCACTTTAAATAAAGACATTCATCATAACCCCACCACCCTCCTTCCCTTTTTATCCACTGCTTCCCAGTCTCCAACCCTGTACCTACGTTTGCAATGACACAACCAGGGAGCAGAGAGCACCAGTGCTGACTTGTGCTCTTTGTGCGTTTCTTCCTATTTATCGTGTACTCAGTTGTGCTGTATCCCCTCCTGTGGGTTTTCCCTAATTTTCCTGCCTGCTATTCCCCCCGTAGACACTTAGGCTCTTTCTGGCTTTATGTACAGATCGCGCGGCAATCCCGACCTTGTGCGCAGACCTTGCTCCTTGGAGGTGATTTTTCAGCATAAATCCCCAGGGGTCTCATTATTTTCCATGAGTCCCAAGGCAGTGGAGGGAGAGGGCCAAGGGAGGGAGGGTAGGAGGCGAACAGAGCCGCCACCGAGCCCGGCCTCAAGGTCAAGGTCAGGGACTTCTCCATACCTTAACGTAGTGGTCCTTGGAGCCGGTTACCACCAGGTCGTGCTGGCTGGCGGCCTGGGCGACCGTCAGGCACATCACGGGGCCGATGTGGCCGGTCAGCTTGCCGACGGGCTGGAACCTGAGGGGGGGAGAGGCCCAGCCGGCGGGGGGGGGGGGTTGGG